TGTTCAAAATTTGGCAAGATGTAATGAAACCAAGGTGTTCAAAATTTGGATCAAGGTGTTCAGATTTGGACCAAGGTGTCCACATTTTGAGGGGAGGTGTTCAACATTTCCAAGTCACTCATGTTAGGTGTTCCCAAGTTGACAGGCCTGTAAACAGTATCCGTGTGAAAAGTCTGAACGAAATGCGGCATTCATTTTTTTTGCTGTACTGTTGATCACTTTTTTTTTTGATCAAGTTTTTCTTCAGAAATATTTTTGCTTGACAATAATTAGGTAAAATGCGTATTTGCATATTTACACGTGACATATTCTGCCATGCAAAAAAACTGGCGTGACTTTAAATTTTCCAGCAAATGTGTGACAAATACGCAAATTGCGGGACAGTTGGATGGCCTTGGGATAAGAGACATATTTGCATCAGGAATATTTGCCACAATGAGACATGAATGTCATGGGACAGTTTTGAGCTCAGTGGTTCCTCTATGCTCTACTGATGCTTCCTTAATCATGGATTAATCCTTTTATGTACCATTTGTAGCTGATTAATTGCCATGTTAACATCCTGGGATCATCCTGGGCCCTCCTTGTCTAGTCACCATTTATCACATTCACCTCAACACAGTAGGTTCTCACCAAGCATGCCATGTGACTCGCTGTAGCCAATCAGTGAACAGTATTTGTAAATCAGAGAAATTCATGATTGTCATTTGAGGGGTTTATTTTAAATTGTCATTTTGATATTGGATATTTCGATTCTCAACAAATGGTGAAAATCATCAATAAGGCCAAATGAAGTGTGAACAGAATGATAATTATAAAATTCAATACAAGACAGTGTAACTTTATTAAGAGTGTAACTTTATTAACCCACCATTCAAGTGATGACTTCTAGTCCTCCAAACCTGATTGAAGAGGGAACTTCAGATTTAGGATGCAATTGTTTGGCACACTAGTCAATTAGATTTTCAAACCAGCCCTTTCCATAAGGATCTTTTTTTTGAGTGGAGTATTCTTGTATCAACTCTCTGTTTCTCTATGTAGTTCCATTAGCAAGGCGAATAGGTTGTATGAACCCCTAAATCATGTAAATAGGCTTATGTATCTTTATTTTAATACCCAGGCAGAAAACTGCTCCTTCAAAATATATTCTCCTTCCATATGATGCATCCATACCTGACTGCGGGTCAGGAAATATGAAATGAGGGAATACCTAATTGCCAATACACGTATACATAAAAACTCCATTATGAGAATGTAGTACTAAAAATCATATATTAAAGTCTTGCATTAAGCCCTTGTATAGTAAGGAGATTTGGTTGTGCCTTCTGGGTAGTGAATAAAATGATTGGGGGAAAGCTTACAAGACTTCATATACACGATTTAGTGCCACCACCAGAAGTGGTGACACATTGTTATGATCTTCAACTTTTTGTGATAGCATCCAGCAGTTGGCATTCAGCGGTTGCAATTTGTAGCAAATGGCAGGTTGTGACATTTTGCATGTTTAAATGCCTTGTTCAATATCTTGAGTCAACAATACTTTCATATAAGAAAACACTCTACAAGTGAGCAATATAGCCAAGACAGATGTTCAGACCAAGCTAGGTAATGTACTGAACTACCTGTCACTGTAATTACATGAGGACCATAGAGGAGCATTGATGTACTTGGAAGATGCTACTTACAAGGGAAGGACATATCTATGTCATGACACTACAAGCCAAACAGAGGACAGGGCATAAACATATGTCATGACACTATATGCTGGCCAGAGGGCATTGAACAAAGGGTACAAATGTCTTTCTAGGAGTCAGTATTCATTCTGGTAGATCACATCGGTCTGTGTTTCAATTCGACTTACAAAAAATAAGATATGTTTTTTTTAATAATGGATTGTTCTTTGAATGCATTGGTTGCAGCAATGGGTGCTATATACCCTCTCCCCTCATCAACTAAGCAGACTATCTTCAGATGATCATTGCCTCCTATTATTCTTTGCAAGGCAGAAATGCTCTCAATATCAGAATGACTATTATACAGGGTGGGCCAAAAAATGTAACCTTAACTTTACAATCAGAATGGGTAACATTATTGGCCCACCCTATACATAATATTTCACAGTTTTATTTTATTTAACTAACATGATCTCAGATATAGGTCCCATGGTCTTTTCATGGAAATTTGAATGTGATATGAATGGAAGGAAATGTGCTACATATAAGAGGAAAATATAGTGTCCTGATTTCCTGACAAAAAAATAAAATTCCTTAGAAATTTTTCAATCCCCAGTCTAAATTTGGCTTTTTAAAGGGTCAAACCTCGACTTTGAATGGATCTTCATGCATATTTTGAAAATAGGTTCACCAAAGAAGGTATTAGACCAGGAAATCATGTCTATAGCCAGACTTTTTGGGCTTTTTCGCACATGATATTTACTTATGGATGGACACAGAGAGGTAGGCTCTTGGGCAAGGTATGAACTTTTCATTGAATATCAAACTGATAAATGAGTAAAAATTTATAAAACTAGTGAACTTTTCAGGCCTACCCATGATATCAGGATGCACATATACTTCCTATTCTACTTGGCCGCCTTAAAAAATCATTTCGGCATCTGCTCAGTCAAAGAATTTGATAATTATTTTTTATCTTCTTTCAAACATAGCTCCAAGAAATCCATCAACTTGAGGCAACCCCTCAATCTATTGACAGACAGCAATTACCTAATTGGTAATATTCTCCTGAGGCTAAACACTAGACTGTACTCTTATTTTCCTATTTTCAGTTTCTGTTAAACAGTGCATTACCCTTTGCATTCGTTTAAGCCACGCTTCTTAAAAGTTTCATTTATACTCTTAAAGTTTAAGAGAAATCTCTGAATATATCATATATCAGAGCTTGTCATCAGCAGAAGGACGATTTTCTACATATTGCCAATATTATCCCCACTTGCACTGATGTCATTGGAATTGACCAGTATTTAAACATTATCAGTGTCACATTACTGCAACATACATGGTTTTTTATTTTCTGCTAGCTGATTTGTTGAGAGAACTATAAAATTGTCTAATCTAATTCAGAGGTTATTTTATTGCTAAACTCTGTACCCAGGGTAACAGCACATAAACCAGCCATAAACCATATGATGAAGCTAAAGGCTATAAAAGAATGTAATACATTGGAATGCTATTGTGTACGAATAAAAACTGACACGATAATGCAAAGAAGATTTATTAATTTTTAATGAGAACATGATCAGGAGTATTGTTATCTTTTATTAAGTTGTCTTGACACAAGCTACTTTGATCTATGAGCTGTTCTGACTTTATATTTTCAATATAATGGAATATTCTGCAACAGATTGTACAATATTCTACATATTTCTGGTTTGCAAAAATGTTAAGTTTTACCAATTTTACCTGTGTTAAGTTTTGGCCTATTTTTATTTATTTATAGATTCCTTTATTTTCCGGACCCTTTGTACCAACAGTTGATTCACAACCTTGTGTATGAGATTATTTAACCTTATAAAATATGAAAAATATATCAAATCTCAAATGGATTTATAATACCCCCCATGGCCAAAAAGTCTTTCAAAATCATACAGTTTTTCACCATTCTGAGCATTTTTATCGTACCATAAAAGGTACGATATTGTCGTCAGCTTGACGGGCGGGCGGCGGGCGGGCGGGCGGCGGGCGGGCGACGTCTCACTTTTCAGCTTGTCTACAGGTTTCCAGCCAAACCATTTGACAGATTCATCTGAAATTTTCAGGAATGTTTCTACGTATCAAAGTTAAGAACTGATTAGTTTTTGGGCATTCTGGGTAAATTTTAAGGTGGCCATTTTGGATTTTCCGTCCTAAAATCTTCACTTTCAAGACTTGTCTAGAGGTTTCAAGCCAAACCATTTGACGGATTCATCTGAAATTTCTACGTATCAAAGTTAAGAACTGATTAGTTTCTGGGCATTCTGGGTAAATTTTAAGGTGGCCATTTTGGATTTACCGTTCTAAAATCTTCACTTTCAAGACTTGTCTACAGGTTTCCAGCCAAACCATTTGACGGATTCATCTGAAATTTTCAGGGATGTTTCTACATATCAACGTCAAGAACTGATTAGTTTTTTGGCATTCTGGGTAAAATTTAAGGTGGCCATTTTGGATTTTCTCGCCTAAAATCTTCACTTTCAAGACTTGTCTACAGGTTTCCAGCCAAACCATTTGACGGATTCATTTGAAATTTACAGGGATGTTTCTACATATCAAAGTTAACAACTGATTAGTTTTTGGGCATTCTGGGTTAATTTTAAGGTGGCCATTTTGGATTTTCCGTCCTAAAATCTTCACTTTCAAGACTTGTCTACAGGTTTCCAGCCAAACCATTTGATGGATTCATCTGAAATTTTTAGGGATGTTTCTACGTATCAAAGTTAAGAACTGATTAGTTTTTGGGCATTCTGGGTAAATTTTAAGGTGGCCATTTTGGATTTTCCATCCCAAATTCTTCACTGTCACACTGCTGTGTTTTAGGTACGATATTGTTCACGTCTGTGCCTTGTTAAGTGATTTTGGCCATTTTTAGACCAAAATTATCACAAGTGACCTCCCTGGAACTTTTCAAAAAGTGAACCCCCCTTGGCAAATCCTGGCTACGGGCCCGGTAACCTACTCCCTTTAATCTCATTAAATCTCTCCCATTGTTGTTCACCTTTGATATTTTTGCACACATTCTTCCTTTTTCTGTTTCATTTAAAGAAAAACACATTGTAAATAAAAAACTAAGATACTCAAATTCAATAACAATATCGAATAAAGCATTATTTTACAGGAAAAAGATTCCTTTTACTTTTTACCTTTAATATTATTGACTCGCACTCCTGCAATCAGCAGTGCTATTATAGATTTACTAATAAATATGTCTGCAATAAATCTTTCATGATCCATTGTTTAGGAGTCAGGCAACTGGTGCTTCTAATTCTATATTATCCTGTAGCTATTATGCTATGTATAGGTATGATATGTTATAATGAACTGTATTAGGCACATACTATTGTATTCTATATCACACTCTGTTCGGGATAGCTGTTCCATTTATGTTGTGTATCATTTTTGTGTGAATTTGTTTTGTCATTTGAGAGTCCCATAGAATTTTGATGAGCTTGAAATGAAACAGTTTTAATATTCAAAAAATGAAAGTTTGACATTATGCACATTATAACAACATTTGTTTTGTGTTTTATTCCAGTGTCCATCAATGGGTCATTCCCCAACCAAAAGATGCATGGCTTCGTGCTAGTTGCTGTGCCTTAATAATATGTTTTGTGTTTTATTCCAGTGTCCATCAATGGGTCATTCCCCAACCAAAAGATGCATGGCTTCATGCTAGTTGCTGTGCCTTAATATGTATTATGTTTTATTCCAGTGTCCATCAATGGGTCATTCCCCAACCAAAAGATGCATGGCTTCATGCTAGTTGCTGTGCCTTAATATGTATTATGTTTTATTCCAGTGTCCATCAATGGGTCATTCCCCAACCAAAAGATGCATGGCTTCGTGCTAGTTGCTGTGCCTCAATAATATGTTTTGTGTTTTATTCCAGTGTCTATCAATGGACCATTCCCCAACCAAAAGATGCATGGCTTCATGCTAGTTGCTGTGCCTTAATATGTTTTGTGTTTTATTCCAGTGTTCATTAATGGGTCATTCCCCAACCAAAAGATGCATGGCTTCATGCTAGTTGCTATGCCTCAATAATATGTTTTGTGTTTTATTTCAGTGTCCATCGATGGGTCATTCCCGGACCAAAAGATGCATGGCTTCATGCTAGTTGCTGTGCCTCAATAATATGTTTTATGTTTTACTCCAGTGTCCATCAATGGGTCATTCCCCAACCAAAAGATGCATGGCTTCATGCTAGTTGCTGTGCCTCAATAATATGTTTTGTGTTTTATTCCAGTGTCCATCAATGGGTCATTCCCCAACCAAAAGATGCATGGCTTCATGCTAGTTGCTGTGCCTCAATATGTTTTGTGTTTTATTCCAGTGTCCATCAATGGACCATTCCCCAACCAAAAGATGCATGGCTTCATGCTAGTTGCTGTGCCTCAATAATATGTTTTGTGTTTTATTCCAGTGTCCATCAATGGGTCATTCCCCAACCAAAAGATGCATGGCTTCATGCTAGTTGCTGTGCCTCAATATGTTTTGTGTTTTATTCCAGTGTCCATCAATGGGTCATTCCCCAACCAAAAGATGCATGGCTTCATGCTAGTTGCTGTGCCTCAATAATATGTTTTGTGTTTTATTCCAGTGTCCATCAATGGGTCATTCCCCAACCAAAAGATGCATGGCTTCATGCTAGTTGCTGTGCCTCAATATGTTTTGTGTTTTATTCCAGTGTCCATCAATGGGTCATTCCCCAACCAAAAGATGCATGGCTTCATGCTAGTTGCTGTGCCTCAATATGTTTTGTGTTTTATTCCAGTGTCCATCAATGGGTCATTCCCCAACCAAAAGATGCATGGCTTCATGCTAGTTGCTGTGCCTCAATATGTTTTGTGTTTTATTCCAGTGTCCATCAATGGGTCATTCCCCAACCAAAAGATGCATGGCTTCATGCTAGTTGCTGTGCCTTAATATGTTTTGTGTTTTATTCCAGTGTTCATTAATGGGTCATTCCCCAACCAAAAGATGCATGGCTTCATGCTAGTTGCTATGCCTCAATAATATGTTTTGTGTTTTATTTCAGTGTCCATCGATGGGTCATTCCCGGACCAAAAGATGCATGGCTTCATGCTAGTTGCTGTGCCTCAATAATATGTTTTATGTTTTATTCCAGTGTCCATCAATGGGTCATTCCCCAACCAAAAGATGCATGGCTTCATGCTAGTTGCTGTGCCTCAATAATATGTTTTGTGTTTTATTCCAGTGTCCATCAATGGGTCATTCCCCAACCAAAAGATGCATGGCTTCATGCTAGTTGCTGTGCCTCAATATGTTTTGTGTTTTATTCCAGTGGCCATCAATGGGTCATTCCCCAACCAAAAGATGCATGGCTTCATGCTAGTTGCTGTGCCTCAATATGTTTTATGTTTTATTTCAGTGTCCATCAATGGGTCATTCCCCAACCAAAAGATGCATGGCTTCATGCTAGTTGCTGTGCCTCAATATGCTCAGGATGAATCTACTCAAATGGGAACATTCTCGGTAAGTTTAGATTTTACAAAAATATCATTATTTTGCATTTATAATACATGCTTCGTGCATTGACTTTTAGATATAGTAAAACCTGTATATATTGAACATTTTTTGCCAAGAAAAACACTACTACTAGTTGTTCACTACTACTAAGGGTATCTACTAGAGACAGGGGTTTACTAAGACAGGTTTTACTGTATATTCACTGCACTCAAAGTCTAAGTGTTCAGTCCTATGTTTGAAATGTTGAAAATAAATGTAGAATCTGTTATTTTAGATAAACACTAACAGATAGGATAAAGAATAAGTCTGATTCTTAATTGTTTGCCACGTACCTGTGTATCTCAATTTTACTCAATTTTATTTAACGGGGTAATCTGAAATCCACATTTTACGATGTTTGAAAATCTGACTAGCATCTCAATATTCTAGTTAAAGATCTATCTGAATATTTCAAGCCTCTTCTAATGAAATCAATATTCTTTTACTCAAATATTTTAAGTTCATTACAAGATTTTGGTAATGAATATTCACACCTATCCTTAGATATACCACTGATCATTAGGCGAGAAAACAAAAATGTTGTTCCTTGTCCCAAGCTATGAAAAGACTCAGCCAGTAAGTTTTTTTTATCCAAACCATTTTTATACTCGGTGATACCTTAGGTAGGTGTCTGTTATATGAAACATTTTTACATGTTATTAATAACTCAAGAAGTAATGATCTGATTGACTTGAAACTTAAACAGTAAACATATAAAGAAACTGAACAAGTTTTCTCAGTGTTTTTGATACTACATTTTTGAAATATATCTGATGGCTGAAGACAAACTATAGCCTTGCCCAAGTCTGTCTCTTTTACTTACAGACTAAAACAGGAAAATATCATTTGATGCCATGGTTTATCATGATGCATATTCTGTAGAAAATGACAAATACACTGGACAATCTGTTATCTTTTAACCAGACTTGCTGCATCACTATGCTGTATTCGCCAACCATGAAACCAGAAACACAATTCTTCATGGTCATGTAAGACCCAAGGCCAATTAATCACTTGTATCTGTTGCTTTTCACTATCTAACTAGAATTTAATTGATTTAACATTATTGGAGTGCAATGATTTATACATTAGATGATGCTATCAGACTGGGTGTTCAGATCTTCTTTAGCAGATATGGATAAAGGTCATGCTTAATGCTATTACATGAGTGTCTCTCAAGTTAAAAGAACATTGCTTTGGTGGTCCAGAGCATGTTAAGTTTTGAAATCTAGCTTTTTGAAAATAAATGCCCAAAACATCATAAGTGATTCAGATCTTTTCAGCTGCAAAATGTATTATTTTACATTCAGAGCAGAATTACTAGTATAGGCCCTTACACTTGGGATATTTTTACATAACTTATACCTTAACTTATCTCGCTAATTTGAAATAGTTGAAATAATCCGAATTATCTGAATAATCTTGATGGTAAACATATATTGCCAAACTGTAAGAATTTGGTATAATTATTGTTATGTGTGGTCAGCGGGAAAATATCATTCTGCATCAAATCTCTGGACCCCACTACCCCCCCCCCTTCTACCCCCCCCCCCCGACCCTATCTACTTCATGGACTTGAGGTATGCATCTGGGAATACAAGGACTTGGAAGAGACTCAGTATTATGAAGTGTATGATTTCTGTCTGATGAAATTCCATTAATTAAGCTATTGACCACTTGGTTGCATCATCCGCTAATTACCTCAAGTTCACTTGTGATTAATTCCCTTAAAGACACACAAATATGATATCTCATAGTCCCATTTATATCTGGTTAAAAAAGACTGAAAAAACATTTTATATGTTGAGCGATAGAGACACATATTGAAATTCATTTTTTTTCGTAAAACAACATGCAAAACTTCAATATTTTTAAATGTTTATGATACAAAATTATATTTTCCAAGGGTTAGCCACTGACTATATCTAATACACAATCACTGGTTAATGTGGAGTCTGATTGAAATTGATCTCTATGAGGTTATATTGAATCATCCCTGGTAATGTCCAGTCTAATTGGCAATGAGGGATTAACCCAATGATGGATTAACCCAATGAGGGATTAACTCAATGGTTTCTGTAATTACATTTAAATGACCAGAATCATACTTAGAAGTATCAAAAATGAATGCTTCTATTGATCTAGTAGGCCTTTATTGCGATTCTTCAACGATATTAGATCAATGAAATAGAAGAATCATATATTATGACCATATTCGCTTTTAATACATTTGACCATCAATGAAAACTTCATATTTAAATCAAGTAATGTTAAAAAATTGCTTCAAAAGAATAAAAGTTCATTTAAAAAAAATTATAAAACATATAATGTGAAATAAACTATAAATACAAAGTAATAATGAGTTTAAGTAATTTTTGTTTTAAAATCTTGACGTTTTGGAAGTTTTAGACATTTAATTTTTTTAGTGAAATTAGGTGTTAAGAGAATTTGCATCAATATATGAAAAAGCTGCTTCACTTACATTCATAGAGAGTCGACTCATTTCGAATGTGTCTTAGTTGATTGTGATTATGCTCAATGAGTGGAAAATTGACTGTCAGTTGTGAAAGGTTCCAAGCAACTGACAAGTTTTAATATTTAATTTCTGTCAAACTGTAACCATCTTTCTTTATGCCATTTCATTTAATGAGTCAAATTGGGGTCATGACTGTAAACATCTCAATTAAAAAATACAAATGGTTTTATGTTACTGACCTTATAAAAGTAGGATGAATGGAAGATTCAGAGAATAAAGTACATTAATTCCGGAAATACCCTCTAAAAGTAATCTAAATTTAGTTCATGCAATCCCATGTAAGTTTAATAAATGAATGTACATTTATAGAATCTTATATATTACAGTTGTTTCCCGATGGCTTAACAGAGTTTGCAGCCGATTGTAAATGGGTTGTCACGACGACATATCATCACAGGAAGTCAGGAGTCTCTGTCTTATGGACGGCACCCCCTGCGGGATCAGGGTGTGTGGAGTTCAGGTATGTCAATATATTTCACTCGAATGATACATCTTAATGAAAGAAAGGGAAGGGGAGTTCAGGATCTTAATGTAAGACTGGTATTTGTTAGACAGTTCAATTTTTATGAACATATAGATGACAGTGTAGCTGCTACTGGTAATGGCCATGTCTTTGTCTTAGCCCCCACGTGACCCCTTCCCCCCTTTCTGCTGAATTATTAGAGCAACTAAACATAGGGCATCGGCCTCACTAAAATTTGGTGAAAAAATATTTATCTAGACATTTTATCAACTGAAACTGTGGTCCATCTCTTATAACTCTTCGACAATCTAGTCTGGAACAACTTATGTTACACCAGTCTTTATGACTATTTATCTTCAATTGATTGCCCTTCCTTATCTGTAGCTCTCAAAATCATTTATTCATAAATGCATATATTGAAAATAAGTTAAGTCGAGATGATCTATTTCATATAAATATTATGATTATTTATCACTATTTATATAGCATAGCCGTTTTATTGTATGGACTCTCTCCTATGAAATAAAAAAACGGCATCGTGTAACAATTGCTCTTTTTAAGAGGTGCACTTGTGAGATATTCTGGAAGAATGTTCATAATATAAGTCACCTCAACCGTCTCGTAATGTGATTTACAAGAGGGACGCTTAACATAGCAAATCAAGTGATTTCTATAAATGGCTGTATCGTAACCCCAATTCCCCTCTCACATAGTCATCTGTTCACACCCGGTGATCGTGAATATGGGACGGAGGGGGGAGCAGGCAATTTCTGCTAGGAAATTCAACAAACCTGGAAGATTTATTTTTTCAAGAAAAAGTTTACTATTGAATTGCTAAATGGATAGGCACACGGTATGGTAGAATATGTTAGGTTTTCTGGGATTTTTTCTGAAACGATACGCATCTAAGGTATGAGATCTATTAAAAAAGGCGCAAGGCCATCAACCGGCACAAATCAACGTTTTTGCTATAAATCAAGCAACAATGGACTACACGACCTGTAATAAATACTTGTAAGTGATGTTATCATAACTAAATTAATGTCATTGCTGAATTTATAAAATAAGTTTCCATACGTAAAATAAAAAATAATCGAAAATAATTAAAATGGGACGGAGGGGGGGAGGGGACGGAGGGGGGGAGTAATAATTCTATAAAGTGAAACAACTTCACACGAATTCTTGTATTTGAAAAATGAACTCATTAACTTAGTAAGAAACTGGATGATATACCCCTGGAGACTGAAAAATGGGGACATTTGGAGTAAAAGGACTTAAAGTCGCGAAACATCTCGAATCATGTCTTATATACATATTGCTCCCCCCCTCCATCCCCTCCCCCCCTCCGTCCCAAATTCATTATTTTCGATTATTTTTTATTTCACATATGGAAACTTATTTTATAAATTCAGCAATGACATTAATTTAGTTATGATAACATCACCTACAAGTATTTATTACAGGTCGTCCAGACCATTGTTGCTTGATTTATAGCAAAAACGTTGATTTGTGCCTGTTGATGGCCTTGCGCCTTTTTGAATAGATCTCATACCTTAGATGCGTATCGTTTCAGAAAAAAATCCCAGAAAACCTAACATATTCTACCATACCGTGCGCCTATCCATTTAGCATTTCAATAGTAAACTTTTTCTTGAAAAAATAAATCTTCCAGATTTGTTGAATTTCCTAGCAGAAATTGCCTGCTCCCCCCCTCCGTCCCATATTCACGATCACCGGGTGTGCTGTTAGTATTTTATCAAATGTAATATGATTAAGGTGGCTAAATAGTAAGATTCCTAAAATTAATTATATAACTGAAAAAGGCTTGAAGAATTCGAGGAAAAGAATTCAGTCTACTAGTTACTGTAAGTTGAATGAAGATTTAGCAACTTACTATACCTTGCACTAGGTGTTCATGCGCAACCCTTTTGGCTTATTTGTAATGAATATGTTATTTGTTTTTATGTGTCTGTTCCTTATGAATGGTTTATCGAATGACTGTTAGATGTTAATAAGGTGCTTTCAAAAATATACTTAACAATACAATTGGACAAACAGAGTATTTATGCATTTCTAGAGGTTAGGTATAGTAGAGTGAAGATAGTAAACTTGCCACTTGGATCAGCCATAGGTGTTTGGATTGGCAGGTGTTCCCATTGTAAGCTTTTTTAACATGGAAATCTATTGCAGATAAAAAAGACATTGTCATTGAAAATATACATCCAGCATTTGGTTGTGCAAATCTGATGGCTTGCTTATCATTGGTATACATGAAATCAGTTTTTCTATATTTCACAATTATGGAGTAGTCAAAATACAAAAATCATCAGACTGTGGAAAATTACTTGTGAGGAGGTGTATTGATCCATGTGTCATTCTAATACATACTGGCAAGAAAAATGTAATAAAACTTATTTGGTTTTGTGTACCTTATTTAATAAGTCAGAATCGTTTAATCTGAATTATATCAATTTCTTCATGTGAATTGCAATAGTTACTGCTTAAGGAAAACATTTTAAAGTTGAACAAGTTGTAAGAAAATTCTATTTCAAACTGATTGTGTTTGCATGATTTACAGGATGTCACATAAGTAATGATAAAAATTGTAATTATCCTTACTTATGGGACACCCTGTAGTTTCCAAACATATTTGTTAGTTTTGGAACAAGGTTATTTTACAGGTTAAATGTTGCTTGCTATGAGGTGTTGAAAGTAGATACACAAGTTTTGGTAGAATCTATTGAGTGATAAGATAAACCCAGAAGATTCCAACTTCATTGTTGGTATTATACATCTGTTATTGACTCTTAATCATATATATCATATAACCATATCATTGATCTCCCCAGCATTAAAGCAAGTGGGCGCAGCACCCACCTGAGATTTTGCAAATAGGCTTGCACCCACCCAAAAATCCATTTGCACCCATTTGAAAATGAGAAAAATCATGAAAAATATGCATATTTTGACCAATTTTTGTCTGGATTGTGAAAATTAGAATTTTGCACCTACCTGAGAAAAAATCCTGGGGAGATCAATGCCATATGTTGGTAAACATACATATCATACATATATAAAAGTACAAAATAATTATAACAAATGTTATTTGCATAGAAAAATATATATGCACAGATATAACCACTCTTATACAAGTTGCACCTCAAACTTCACATTAGCACCATTTGGTATGCATTACGTTTTATTTTTTCCATAGTATGTCATACCTTCAGTCATACCTTGATGGATCAAGATGGTCATTTATAATCCCACCGAAAGAAGTTCGAGGGGGATATAGAGAAGCCGTCCGTCCGTCCGTCTGTTCGTCCGTCTGTCCGTCTGTCCGTGTGTCCGGGCGATAACTCCAATACCGTTTGACAGATTTGGTTCAAATTTTATAGGCTTATGCCTTATGAGTGTAGGACCTCTGCTCGAGAAGGAATTTTCAATATGGCTGCTCAATTCAAAATGGCCGCCATTTTTTGTAAAAAATGTAATCTTTGATAACTCAAATACAAGTTGACGGATTTGGTTCAAATTTTATATGCTGATGCCTAGGGACAAAGGAGTTTCGCACAAAAAGAGATTTTCAAGATGGCCGCTTAATTTAAAAAAAACGGCCATTTTTCGTAAAAATATGTAATCTTTGATAACTCAAATACCAGTGAACGGATTTGGTTCAAATTTTATATGATGATGCTTAGGGGCACAGTAGCTATGTTTGACAAAGATGGCCGCTTAATTTCAAAATGGCGGCAATTTTTCGTAAAAAACGTAATCTTTGATAACTCAAATACCAGTGAACAGATTTGGTTCAAATTTATATGATTATGCCTAGGGACACAGTAGCTCTATTCAAGAAATAATTTTCAAGATGGCGGCTGAATTTCAAGATGGCGGCCAATTTTCGTAAAAAACGTAATCTTTGATAACTCATATACCAGTGAATGGATTTGGTTCAAATTTTATATGATGATGCCTAGTTCACAATGGTATAAACTAACTTTGTGCCTTTCATGCTTCTATCACAAAGAGCACAAACATTTCAACATTTACACTAGGTATAATAAGCATAATATGTTTTGTTCGGTGGGATTTGCTACTCCGTGGAGTTGCTGTTTTTCTAGTTCATTTTGAATCGTTTAGAAAAACCAGTATGCATTACTTTTACATTTCTATAATAGAACAAGGTTCCATGTAGGTGAATAGATTATCAATAATTACATCCACCTATGTATAATGCTTGGAATGTATAAGCCAGGTTGCAGTAGTCTTATTTCTGGCACAACTGAAAACAATTATGATTATGTTTGGTATGTTCAGGTACATATTTACATACCATAACAACATAAGCTCAACCTGCTGCACCTAAAGCTGCAGTCACACCAAACTTTTTCTCACTACATTCTTGAAAATTTTGCCATTCCAGCTTTAACTGTATGCCAAAGGATTGGACTTAGTTGTAACCTTTTATAGTCTTTTACAAACTTATTGGTTAGACTTTATTAGATTGAAAGGTACTCCAGAACTTTTAGCCTGCAACACATTTTAATTGTGTCAGTTCCGGGATTCCCATTGTAGGGATTCCCATTGTAGGGATTCCCATTGTAGAGATTCCCATTGTAGGGATTCCCATTGTAGCTCGTTCATCCTGTTTGCAGATAGAGTTACATCTTAAGTCAGTAGCAAGTCCATATTGATAGATGTTCCTGTGTGATTGCCTAGATGTTGTGGGGAAATTCTATGGTGGTTGCAGGATGATTCCTAGATATTGCAGGGTGATTACTAAGGTGGTAGGAGAGTGATTGTAAAGATGTTGCTGGTTGATTGCTAAAGCGGTAGCAAGTTGATTGCTAAAGTGGTAGCAAGTTGATTGCTAAGGTGGTAGGAGGGTGATTGCTAAGATGTTGCAGGTTGATTGCTAAAGCGGTAGCAAGTTGATTGCTAAAGTGGTAGCAAGTTGATTGCTAAGGTGGTAGAAGGGTGATTGCTAAGATATT